GTGTGTGTGTGTGTGTATTTATGTACGCGCGCAGAAGTGTGAACAACAGTGTGTATGGGGATGGGTGGTGATATCAACAGTTCTGCTTCCGAACACTGTCTCGGTCTTTTTCTTACTTAAAACTAGATATTATTATTTTCTTACATTCGGCTGTCCTTCATCCCTTGTCTAGATAATAATAATATCATTATTATTATGTGAAATGAAAAACTATTTTCGCAGTGCGCTGGGCTTTGATCTTGAAAATCTTATCGATTCATTCAAATAAATATTAATTCGTGTGCTCTAAAAACTGCCATCTAAGGAACAACTTTGGTCAGATTTTAAACATCAGTGCGTGAAACATTCCATTACTTTCCTTCAAGTTCAAGATTCAAGCGCTGGTTAAATGTTGTAGGCAATAGGCAATACAATGTAATATTATGCCGGTAGTGAGCTTCTTGCTTTCATGGGCGTAAAGGACATACATTCTTTTATGAAATTCAAGACAGATGTTCCTTCGCATATTATGCTAGTACCACCGTTATATATTATGCTAGTTTCGAACAATTAAATAAAATAGCTTTAAAAAGATAAAAGGCCTCTAATAATAATAATAATACATACACTTTTAAATCAACACACGAATATTGCGATACTACCCAAGAGCGAAAACTGCTTGCCGTTGAATTGATTTTGAAGGGAAAATATTATCCCTAGGCCTAGTCAATTGATTTCACAGTGGCGTGAGCGACAGGCGATACAACAATACAACAGCTGATCACTTACCGGTGACAAAACTGCATCATATCGAACGATTGACGTTTTTGAGGTTGACCGATCAATGTCAGTCAAAATGGATGAGACTTTTCGTTGTGTTACTTGCACAGCCCCTGTAAATATAGCCGTGATCAAGTACTGTAAGTTTCCCCATAGGACCTAACCTCAGATAAATTTATGGATTTTGACTGCTAGAGTTTGAGGAGCGGAGTACCCAGCCATGCACAGTACACGTTGACATTAGATCTACTTTTACTGACTTGGCTTACCACTGACTCTACAAATGATTCATTTTTATTATTGTTCTTCTTATTCCTGTCATACCATAATTTCTGTGCTGTAATTGTAATTTGCAGCCTGTCAGTCTCTCGATGTCGTGTCATTGTGTTCTTGTGAGTAACTGTTCATCTTTGGAATTCTCATGGCGATTGTTAAGATTATTTATCTAGATCTAGTTAATTCCGATTTACGTTTTTCATAGCCTCAGGCATGTTTCGCTTTGGTCCCTAACCCTAACCCTAACTTTCTCCCGGTAAGAAGAGACCAGCGAAACATGCCTGAGGCTGTGAAAAACGCAGATCGGAATTAAACGTGAGAATCGTAACAATCGCCATCGTTCTTTGAAACCCCTTCAACTTCAAGTCCTTTGGTCTTCAGTGCCCAAAATCTAGACTAGATTTAGATCTAATGAGTGAGGATGAGTGACCCCCCCTGTGCGGGGAGAAAATTGGACAAGGCTTCTGGACAACCTTCACTAAAATTCGACCCCCTTGGCCTCTGCCCCGACCACCTGATTTGTTTTGTTAATTAAATGTCATCACTGTGTGACTGTGTGCTAGAACTGGATCTAGAGATCTAGGGGAACTCTTGTGACCTAGAGTTAAAGTGTGAACACCCCTCATTCGAAGGTCCCAGGTTCGAATCCAGGTAGCGACAGAAAAATTTTCTTCTCTAAAATTGTCTCCTTTCACCTTCTTTCCTGTTCTGTAGTCTCTCTAGCAATGTTGTCTGCTTTCGTCTCTACTTTCTGCCCCCACACCCTCATCTCCTTTGCCCCCTCCTCTGGGCTCCTGACTCTTTCTGCACCCTTTCTACTGCTACTCCTTGGCTTCTTCACTGCCAGACTGAATTTCAGCCACACTCCTGATCTTCTAGGAAAGGTCTACACTTAGTCTTCTCGTACAAGGGCGAAAAATCTTGGATATCCCGTGTGCAAGTTGTGCACGTTAAAGATCCCTTGGTGATTCAAAATCGATAAGATGAGTAGGCTTCGGCCGCCGCTCGGGCAAAGTTCTAAGTTTCCTGAATAACCTTATGGAGTTGTGAGCACCGCAAACACTTTTACCAACAAAAGAAAAAGATGTTGAAGTACCAGTAGACTGTCTACAACAACAGTGAACTCATCACTACTTGTCTAAAGACTTAGTAAAGGCCTACCTGGTACTTTCATTTAGAGTCTATGACTCTTGCGATCACTTTTGGTTTCACACTTTACAGCATCTGGCTTTATTTGCAGTACATTGTCTCCTTCTCCTTTTCCCTCTGTGCTTGCAATGTTTTACTTGGGTTCTATTGCTGTGTATTGTGTTTACTTCTCTGTTAATTTGGTAAAATGCTTGACTGTGTTTTTTTACTTTGTTTTCAGGGGGTAAACGAAATGAGAAGCTGATTCTGCCGACAAATCCTTCCTTGAGTGTCACACTGGGACAGGATGAGGTGAGAGTTTGGTTTCATATACGCGACCTTTTGAGCATATTACTATTTTTATTCTCTTTTTGGGGGTATTCAAGTAACTTGTAAATGAACTTTCATTATTTTATTTTTTGGGGGGTCGTTGACAGGCACTCTGATGTGGTTTACTCTTTCTTTCCTGTCAAACACCTGCCTATCGTCCTTATCTCTACTTTTTGATTGTATGTTGTGTGTTACTCTTTAATAACACCTCTAATCTTTACCACTGGACCTATTTGTACTGCAAGTGGTGTAAAACTCCTTAAGTAAAAGTACAAGTAAACTTTTTATTATTAGCGATTGATTAGATTTCATGCCTGTAATGTAAAGAAAAACGTGGTTCTTAGAATTTCCTTGGTCCCGAATATTCCCTTAACGATGAGTGAGTTCACCAGTGATACGATTGTCAAGGGGAATTTTGTTTACAGCAGTTTATTCTCTGAGGCATTACCACTGACCTTTGTGCGGGAGGAGAATTATATTATACTTTTCTCTGCCGTATGTTGACAAAACGGTTGTATTTTATATCCCCAGCAGTTTGGAAGTACAAAGATTTTTTGTCAAAGTAACCAAGTAAAAAGGCGAGCTTCTGAAATTTGAATTATGATTATTCAAAAACTAGTCACAATTTCACTTTGATTTTTTTTCACATGAGTAGGGTGACCTATTGTATCAGGCTTTCAATTTTGCAAAAAGAAAATTTTGCGCCTAAAATGGAAAAAAAGCTTTTTGGCAGCTTGCATGGCAATTCTTTCGCTCTGGCCATTTTGTTGTTAACCAGTCTTGAAAAGGGATGAGCTGAGGCACATATCAGAGCTCAGTTGCTACTCTACTTTTTGTTAACGTTTATTTCAATCTGTGGCCAAATCAAAATACTTTTTTTCATCCCTATTCTGTAATTATAATCAATTTGAGTAAATAATTCGAATGGATTAAGACAGGGTGTTGAACAGAATTATTTGTGATTAGATATAATGCACGTCGCGGAGGCATTTTCTCCGTCAAGCGTTCACGGGCTATTGATTCTGTTTTGTCACAAGTTGTGACTCAATGTAGTTTAGTTTGCCTATGTTTAAGACTGTATTAAGAATAGTATGTTTATAATTTTCATACACCGCAAAATAATATTATAATTCTGTATTTTTCTTTACAGTTGCGAGCAAAGACCTCTGTGGCTTTCAGTTCCAAATATACAGAAGACAGGATGTGGCTGAACGGAAAGTGAGTACAGAACATTGGTGGTGATAAGTTACTGCGTCCTTGAAGCGTAAACCAGTGTGATTGGCATCATAAGCAATTTTAGCTTGATTTCGCCTTCTGCTGCTTCTACGACCTCTGGCGTTGTGAAGTGGGACGTGTGGAAATATGTGAGAGGGTGGTTGGCAGATGCTCCTGTGTGGTTTGCGCCTTCTATCCTATCAAACATCTATCGTCTTTATCTCCCCTCCTTCTTTTTTTGTGTTTGTTACTCCCTTGTAACACCTCTAATCTTCGGCACTTATATGGCCTAATTGTGTTGCAAGTGCCATAAAACTGTTACTAAATCTAAAGTAAAGGACATATCGTCTCGTAAGTTTATCTTCAATGGGGGAGATAGTCCACACGTGATGATATTCCAGATTTGTCAAAAGTATGGGGGAAAACATCTTTCTGAATCAGGATTTGAACTAGGATTTACTAATGTGTTGAGTATGTGCTTTCAAACTTGATTTGTAGCCGTGAAAGTTTTATACTTAAGCCTTTGTGATATTGTTCTGGCCTGTACAGATGCTGACAGTATTGTCATTATGTTTTGCTTTGAGACGACTGTTCTGAACTTTGGCAGATTTTCAATCAAATATTTGGCCTTTTGTGTTGTAATAGATGTAGGAAGAGTGGCACTTTATTAGTGCTTGCCTTTTGGAAATGGCACATACTGTACATTTATATACAGTTATACCTTGAGATTCGAGCACACCGACATTCCAGATTAGTTTTTGAGATATTAACGGGACATCTGCCAATTTTTTTTTGCCTTGAGATGTGGTTAAAATGCAGTGATGGCAATAAATTATTTAGGTAGAAATTTGTTTCTTTTTCTAGGGAAGAGTCAGTTTCCAGTCAGAGGATTCAGAATGTTCTCAAAGAAGGTGAGTTTGTGGACACGTTGAACTGTAACAATCTAGAATCCATGATGTTCATAGAAGAGAGTTCAGGTTCATGTGGAATTTTCTAATTTCTCCTGGGTTTTTTTTCCCTTTCTTGTAAATAATCTATAAATTTCATATAGAATTGTGTTGATTTTCAATTAAGCAGTAATATTTTTTGTGTTTCTTGGCTTGGAACATTACATCCCAGTGAACGATTTGAGTGAGGCAGGGGTAGGCCCAGAACAACCTACTTAGTGAACATAAACAAATGGGTAACAGGGAAAGATCAGGGAAATGTAGCTTTTTTTAGAGCATTCGAGCAAAGGAATGAATGGAGAACCATAATCTCCGATGTCTGTCGCAGATCTGGCTCTGGATGATGGTGATGAGCGATTTGATTATGTAATCATGTTCTCTGAATCGTTGTCATACTGTTTTCCGTTTATTTCCATCTCTCAGTGCGAAGACGGGTTCGCAAGCGCGGAGCACCAGGGGGAGGTAATGAAGTGGACACGTCGCGACACATACACATTGTCTCGGAGAACAACTTCCCCACCGCAGCTGGTCTAGCTTCCTCTGCTGCGGGCTACGCATGCCTTGGTGAGTACTTGCAGGAAACGGGGAAAGATTTACTTGGTGGTCTTTCTTCTTTATAAAGTTTTCTATTTGTATATTCTGTTGATTTATGAGTGTGATGATTATTCTGGTTATTTAATTTCTTGCTCTTTGCAAATTTTCCCCAAATGACACTCTCTCTTTGGCTGAAAATGTAATAGTTTCATAGTTATTGGTAAATTGTATCACTTTTGATATGTTCTGAAAGTTAAAACTTAATTGGTCTACAAAGGTAACAAAAGTGTTTGGGTGGGTGGTTGGTGGGTGCTCTGGTGTGGTTTACTCCTTCTTTCCTATCAAACATATATGTCGTCCTTATCTCTCCTCCTTTTTTAAAATGTTTGTTACTCTCTTTTAACACCTCTAATCTTCGGCACTTATGTGACCTTATTGTGTTGCAAGTGCCTTAAAACTCTTATAAAGAAATTTTTTTAAGTGGTTGGTGCTTTAGCATTTCACTACTTTGTGTACTTTACTTTCTCACGTTTAATGACAGAGTTGTCTGTGTTGTGTTTTCAGTGTACTCTTTGTGCAAGCTGTACGGAGTTCAAGGAGAAATTTCTGACATCGCCCGGTACGTAGATCCTCCCCGTCTTATGAACGTACGATGAAAGTGTTGGGGGAGACTTGAACTTGATGCCTTTGGGATCGATTTCTGTTACATTGAATGTGAAAGTGCATGCATACTTTTTTGCTTACCTGATTTCTGTATTGGAGGCAGTCTGGTATTTCAGTCTCCATCAAACTCCGGTAAATAGGCCAATGTATATTCTTGTAACGTTTTTTCTTTTTGTTTTTAACTTGCTCGTGCCGCGACCTCAGTGCTTTTTTGTCCTATCTCCATTTTTTTAAACAGTGAAAATGTGACTTCTTCTTAGACTCACTCCATGTTATGAACTGTTTTCACTGTTATTAAAAATGGAGATGCGACAAGAAAACACTGATGTCGCGATTGCTGTACTGGCTCCTGTGTGGTCGCAGTTAGATGCTTTGCTGTGGCCTGCAGGAGACCCGAGTTGAGAGAAAGTTCACTTTTTTCACTTATCTTGGTTTTTCTCCTTTATTGTTACATTCCTCTTAGCTTGGGTTAGAAGCCCTCCTACTAAGTTATCTAAATTGTGTCGAGAGGGGCGTAAAAACACCTACAACCCCCCCCCCCCCCCCCCCAACCCAACATTATCACCTGTTTAAAGCAGCAAGCTGTATTTACGTACTTACGACTTGAAAGCAAAATTTCTACTTTTTTAACACTTTGCCGTCTCTTCTCGCCGATCGGCGTTGTTTGCCACCCAGTTTCTTTGGATGTCCCCCAAAATACTTGTGATGGCAAGGGTTTTTATTCTATGAGCCTTGTGATAGGAACATGTTACAATGCTCTCTCTCTCTCTCTCTCTCTCTCGTTCTCGGTGGTTCCAGGCAAGGCTCGGGCAGTGCGTGTCGCAGTATCTATGGTGGTTATGTGCTGTGGAAAACTGGCGACCTCATGGATGGGACGGATTCGTTCGCCGAGCAGGTGGCCCCGGAGTCTCACTGGCCCGAGATGCGGTCTCTCATCTGTGTGGTCAGTTGTTCTCTTATCTGTCTTTTTTTTTTTAAGCGTTTCATTTTGTATTTCTTAAAATTCATGTAATGATTGCCTAGGATATCTCATTTTGTGTTTGTTCTGTAAGAAGAACCCCACACCCAAGATTTGACTTCATGTTGCTCATATTTCAGAAGTATCCCTCCCCCTTTTTTGTCCATGGGTCTATTGTAGTGTCATATAATTTATATATTGTTGTGCCTTAAGTCTATTTCATATGGACGTTTTAGGTGAGGAAATGTATTTCTCCATGACATCTTTTGATATGGGCTGTAAAAGAGGATTAATCAAACTGTACTGAATTTTCAAAAGAAGTGTGGATGTCATGTTTCCGAAGTGTCCCCACTCAGCAGTCAGTTTATCTATCCCCCCCTCTCGTGGTTCCCCCCCCCCCCCCATGCGTCCAGGTGAGCGACCAGAAGAAGCACGTGGGCAGCACGGAGGGCATGCAGACGACGGTACTGACCAGTGAGCTCATGCAGCACCGCGTGGACGGGGTGGTCAGTCAGCGGACGGATGACATGATCGAGGCCATCATGGCTCGCGACTTTCCCACCTTTGCAAAGATCACAATGCAGGTACAGTTTTCGTAGACTTTCCCACCCACCTTTGCGAGTTGGAATGTACAGTCTTAACAGATTTGATAAATATCAGGTACAGTTGGACCTGCTCTAATGGCCGCCTGTCCAAGACCTTGACTTATACAAACTACCACATCCTGTCCCCCCCCCCAACATTTTCACTCCCTTGCATTAAAAACAATTGTGTGGCGGGGCTGTGGGAACAGGCGCTCGTCAATTTTTGGGCCTTTAGAGTTATTAGTGTCATCTTAATGCTTGTTCATTTGTCTTGCATTTGTCTAAAAAAATTACCCTTCTGTCTTGAATTGAAGTCCAGATATTTGCGATTGAAGGTGGTGGGGTCACCTGGTATGAGAGGTAAATCTTGCAAGAAAACAGCCGCCAAAGTGTGGTGACTTCCGAAGCTTGAGAGTCCTTGGAAAGTGGAAATGTACTTTTTTTTACCTTTAGTGAACAATTTTTGGTACCATCTACTCAGAAATACATTTTCAAATGGACATAAAAAGTGTTGCACCAAAAAGAGATAATTTGAAACAAATTTCCCAACACCCTGAAAAATTCAGGGTTTTTTTATTTCATTATTTTGACGAGTGCCTGATTTCACCAAGCTGCCTCACAATTTTTGTTTGTTGTTAATAAATTATTGTAATTACACTGTCTAAGACAATCAGCCTCTTATCTCTTTGACACTGGCCGACCGTCTTGAATTAATTTTGACTGTATTCACAAGGTAACATTTTGATCTGTGTGGTTTGTGTGGTGACAGATCTGTTGTCTTCCACATAAGACGACTTTGCCTACACTTTTCAGCGTGAGAGGGAAAGGAAATCCCATGAAACTGTCGTCTGTGCTCTCTCTCTCTCTCTCTTTTCTGCTGCTGTGGCGTCATTAACAGTCAGTGATGCCGACAGCACGCAGGAACTCAACACTTGCTTGGGGGTCCTTGAAAAGTGCTGAACGTAGGTCACTGAGATGTCCCTGTAGACGTGTGTCGTTTGCGGTGTAGTGGTGAGGGGGCTTCGCTGTCACGCACGCGATCTGTGTTTGATTGCTGTGTAGGGAGACTTTTTTAAATTCAGTATTTTAGTTTTTCTGCAGGGACGTTGAATCCCCCCCTCCCCTCCCCCGTCTCGTGTTTGCCCTGACTGGCAGGGTTGAAACATCCTAAATTGATGGGACATAAAATATCTACAATGATATAACAATTAAGTCTGTGAGCTGTATCTTGAGGTACAGTCAGCTGGTCTTAACTCTTTATCTCCGGCATGCCACTGCCAGCAGCTCGTGGTCAGAACCGCTGTGTTGGTGAGTCACTGACAGTGGCTCGGGCACATTCCTTTACTACGACTTCCACAGTTAATTACTTTTCGCCAGTTACTGCCAAGAACAGGTTTCTATTATCGGGAGTTCAATCTTTTCATGAAGAAGTTTCAAAATAGGTTAGCTTGGTTTGACTTAATGAATGACCCATTTAGTGACATTTTTGTCTTTTTTTTTATTTCGAACCAAAATAGGGTCCCCGGCACAGTGGGTTTTCCCTCCATGGAGATAAAGAGTTAATCAATGTCTTCTGAAAATTTTCCCACAGGAGAGTAACCAGCTCCACGCGGTGTGTCTAGACACGTACCCTCCCATCTTCTACATGACAGATACGTCCCGTCTCATCGTGAGGCTGGTGCACGCTATCAACGACGTTCTGGGAGACATCAAGGTAAACCTTTCTTTACCCACCGGGGCGGTGCCACTGACTGAAGTGTCTTCAGGCCATTCCCAAAGGGGGGACATTTACGTGTTCTTATGCACAGTAGAATTGTAATTGTAAATGGGCTGATTTATCAATGTCATGCTCATACTGTGCCGGAACAACATAGGGGGAACTACTGCTTTTTCTTTCCTCATCCTTACTATTGTCATTTTTCCTGTACTTCTTTTGTATGTTTGTCACTCTCTTGTGAACTGCTATTTCCGGGGTGCCTTGATAGTCGAAGCAGACTTTGTGCTTTTGAAGCTAGAGAGGTGAGCAGAGTAAGCCTGATTCCCTGTAAGGATTTCTCTGTTGACATCCACCCCTTGGCGCTCATATGACCGTACGTAGTTGCGAGTGCCTTAAAACCTTACTAAAACTAAAAACCTTCCTTACTGCTTGTCCTCCTTCCTCGTCTTTTTTCTACTTCTTTTCCTCCTTCTCATCCTCCTCCAAAAATTACAACTGTCTGTGGATTTCTCCTGCTCCTGGCTTGGGTACATCAGTGGTTGGTCCTACTGCTTTTCTGTCCTTCTCTTGTTTTTCGTCTTTCTAGCATGCTTTTTCTACACAATACATTTTTACAGTTGGGGCTTCATCATCGACCCTTTAAACAGACAACTGAAAAACTGTATTTGCTATTTTGCTTTCTGTACTGAAAATGCTTAAAAAAACAAAAAACAATGGTAAAGTAAATACTTCTTCTACATAATTTTTAACAAAATCTTTTTAATATAGAATTTTGTTTGTTTGTTTGCCGATTACTCAGATGCAGACTGAAATGATCACTAACATAGGCCATGGATTAAACTCAAGTCAGAATGTTTACCGTTGTCTGAACAGGTCATCATTACCATTGCCTTTTTCACCCTGCACCAGGATATAGGCCACGGACAAACTTTCCATCTTTCCTTATCCTGGATGAGTCGCTTCATGTCTTTCCACATTTCTGTACTTCCATTTCTGTGAGTGTTTTCCAAGTTCCATGTGGTCTTCCCCTTGATTTTTTTCCCTGTGAGTTCCAATTTAACACTTTCCTTGTTATACAGCTGCTTGACTTGTCTTTCCTCTCTCCAGGTGGCTTACACGTTTGATGCGGGCCCAAACGCGTGTCTATACTTGCTGAAGGAGGATGTTCCTCGTGTCATGGGACTACTGCGGCACTTTTTCCCACCGGCTCAGAGAAATGGAGAGCCGTTCGTGACCGGTCTGCCAGTGGACGAGCTGCCAGTCACAGAGGTGCGGTGGCTTGTTTTGTGTTGTGTGACTCTTTTCCAGTAAAGTAAAGTTGTTCCCGCATCCGATCCAGACATTGAGGATTACCTTGTTAGTGAGACAACTTCCTAGGCCTTCGGCATATTGTGGTAGGGTGGCCAGTTCCTTTCCACGCCGCCTTTACTTCCCCAACTCGAAGTCAGGTACCCGTTACTGCTGGGTGGGCAGGAGGGGGTGAAAAAAATCTGTGTCTGAACCGAGGCTAGAACCCGGACTTTCCGCTTCGGAGACGAGCGCACTAACCGCTCCGCCACCGCACCCTCTCTATACAGAGTGGTTATTTGGAGACATGGTCTCCTATGTTCTAGTGATCACCTGAGACAGGATTGAGTCATGAAAACTATGAAAAAAGATAGGTCTTGAGATTCTTTACCACTTTGCAGTCACACAGCCAGCAGTACAAAATGCCCCATCTGATCACCCAGCCAGGAGAGTGACTGCAAGGGACTTCTCTGGCTGCACCAGGTGACCGGAACGGATAATTCTCACCATCGCATTATTGCGTCAAATGACCGCAAAGTGTTGAGGATGGAACCCATGCCCTCCAGATTAAATCTTATATATGTATTCCAATGTAGACAGGAAACTGAGCTCCTATTAGGTTTGGACCGGTACCAAAAGTGGCAGCTGATAACACAGTGGCTGATCTTCTGGATCAATCCGGAAATCTGAATGCCCTGTCTTGTGTAATATGTGTTACGTCGCAGTGGAATCAGGCATGTGGAGTTATTGGTACTATCTGAAAGGTGATTCATTTGCCTTGCTTTCAATGTAATAGATATCTATCTTGATCAGAACTCGAGACCGTTGCGATTGAAGGAAATGAGGTCACCTGGTTTCAGTATTGATATTAGCGAGAAAATGGTTGCCAAAGTTTGGCAACTCCAATGGCTAAAGTGTCCTTGAAAACTGAAAAAGGACATATTTGTGCCTTTAATCAATGTTTCACATGGGAATTTTGTTTTTATATGGACGTAAAAGATGTTGAGCCAAAAAAAAAAAATCTATTATAATTTTCAAACTGGAAAATGCCTGTTTCTCCGATTCCTGCATTTTGACGAGGGCCTGCTTCCACCACGCTGCCTCACATATAATATTTCCACTTGTACATTTATAATTTAATCTCTTTGTGCATGTCATATTGCACTTACGTAAAAATAGTTGTACTCTTTTCTATCTATTGCTGAACTCACTTGAGCCTGAGCCATTTTTCACCCAACAACCATTGCAACATGACATATTTGGGGTATATTGAATCATCAGCCACAAAAAGACTGAAAGCTATCATACTTTTTAAAAAGCAACAAAAGAAAGAAAGAAATGCAATTTTTTTGCGCCCAATGTACACTAAAATCATCTATCACCGTGTGAGGGTGACTGACTTAGTCGTTACAGCTAAAAAAAAAGTATTGCCCCTTACTTCACCAATGTTTTTACCAAACGAGACAAGTGGGTCAACTGTTGGCTCGCTGCTTCCCGTAGCTTGTGAACGAAATACACCAGAGATATCGATTGATAAATCGCTTCCCGTAAATACACGGGGATAGTTTCAAGTGAGTTAATCAGTTTTTTTACTGAATTTTTTGTCACATGGGTCCACTGTGCTTGATATGTTAGGGCTCATATCAATGCTTTCTAAAACCTTAAATATGACCACCACCACGCCCCACTCCTGACCACCACCACCATACCCCCCTCTCCCCCCCGTGGGTGGTTGGCGGGTGCTCTGGGGTGGTTTGCTTCTTCTTTCTTATCAAACATCTATCGTCTTTATCTCCCCTCCTTCTTTTTTTGTTTTTGTTACTCTCTTGTAACACCTCTAATCTTCGGCACTTCTATGACTTTATTGTGTTGCAAGTGCTGTAAAACTCTTACTAAAACTAAACTAAAATATGACCCCAAAGTGGGGCCTAAAGGAAAATTGAAAAGAGTTAAGCCCTGGAAACTCAGTTTTTCCGTTTCTGTCAAAAAAGTTTTTTTCTCAGAGAATTAAATATCATTAATAAAAACAACACTTATATCTCTTGAGCGGTGTACACTTTGATTGTGAATTGTAAAGAACATGACGGAAGCGCTGTTAGGTCTTTCTTTGTTCTGTCGTTCCAGTTTCCTGTGATAATTTCTCCTTTATGAACAAATGCTGTGGACGTTCCGTTTTTGAAGTTATAAACCAAGAAAAGGCTTTGTTAAAGAAACACAAAAAAAGGCTATGATTTGCAAGTGAGGATATTTCACTCTTGCTTCTCCCCACCCAACGTGTGCAGAAAGATTTTCAAAATCTGCAAGCTTGTGTGTGCAAACACAGATGATTTCATCGGGTGCTTAGAGTCCAGGAGTTGTGTGTTGAATTTTCCCGTGATTTCTTGTCCTATATTTCCCCTCAGAGCGACCTGGCAGGCATCAGCTTGCCTCAGAGTGAAGGAGCCATCAAGTACGTCATCCACACCAAGGTCAGTTCACGAGGAGAAGAGAGGGGGAGAATTTCCTGAATGTTTTTTTTTTACAGTCATTGGAAATATTTACCTATAAGATTTTGTGGTTTCGGTTTAAGTAATATGAGATTACGAAAATTGTAGCTAAAACTCAGGTGCTCGCAGAAAACCGTGAAAAGTGGAGGCACCTGATGAGGCTCTCTGTCATTCAGCACTCCTAAGATCCTCGTGGATTATGGGATCAGTGAGCAGTACGCAGTGAAGCTAAAATAATGCTTTGTGTTTGTCATAATCTGGCCTGGTTGGTTCAGAATGATGCTGGACTCAACCTAGAGAAGTGGACTTTAAAAATAACAGTAAGAAAGAGAGAAAAATGCCAGTGCTGTTGTTCCGTGTGGGGAGATATCATGGTTTACAGTAACGCACTATATTTACTTACATCAAGTTACAGGTTACCCTAATATTAGGTAGTGGGTGGCTAGCGGGTGCTCTGGTGTGGTTTGCTTCTTCTTTCCTATCAAACATCTATCGTCCTTGTTTACCCTTCCTCTTTTTTATGTTTGTTACTCTCTTGTAACACCTCTAATCTTCTAGCGCTCATATGACCTTTTGCAGTTGCGAGCGCCGTAAAACATCTACTAAAACTAAAGAACTAACGTTAGGTAAGGCACAATGATTCATAAACAGATGCTACAAATATACCATTTGATGAAACAAAAAAGCCACATTATTGTATGAAAAGAATATAGATTTTTTTGGTTGCTTTGTGTTATTTTTGGTTGGATTTTAACAAGAGAATACACCTCAAAGAGACAGAGAGATTTTAACAAGAGAATACACCTCAAAGAGACAGAGAGATTTTAACAAGAGAATACACCTCAAAGAGACAGAGAGATTTTAACAAGAGAATACACCTCAAAGAGACAGAGAGATTTTAACAAGAGAATACACCTCAAAGAGACAGAGAGATTTTAACAAGAGAATACACCTCAAAGAGACAGAGAGAGTGACAGGGGTAATTGCTCTACCATAGATTGAAGATGTCGAAATATTATAGATTCTGATTTTTGCAATGAACTATTACTTGAGTTCACGACTTTTCTTTCATCTTATGTATGAAAGGTATAAATAAACAAAAGACATCTTTATTGCTCGCTGAATTGTATGGAGATGACAGTCAATAATAGCATAACGTCGGTCGCCTGATAAAACCGTGAATTCCACAAATTTTAGAAAATTGTTTTTTTTCGCATATTTTGATAGTGCTCAGTGAGATACATGTCCCTGTAAAACAATTTTTCAATTATCTCAACTCAAATGTGTAATCTGACGTAATAAGAATAAGAAAATCGTGAATAAACACTGTGCCCCAAAAGTCGCCTGATGAAACCGTGAATCCCACACCTGTGTGGAATTCACGACCTCATCAGTCGGTTTATGACTTGCGGGGCTGACCGTTGACGCCGTGAACGCCTCTTTAGAAGATTTAAATATGGGGGACTGCATTGAGCAAACGTAATGGCCGGTTAGTATTCACGGTTTCCTGGCCAAAGATTATAATTTATGATGTCGAGTGCATGCGTTTTGCGGGAAAACCCCTCTATCACATAATTAAAATGTGTATTTCCTAGATGCAGGACTGGTATTGTTTCACAACAACTGTCAAATTCGAATTAGTAATGTATGTGCCCTTCTTGTAGTTGTTATACAAATTTTATCATTTGCAAAACAAAAAAAAATAATATTAAAAAATTTAAATATTGAAGTAGTCAAGTATAAATTACAAGTATATTTCGGTGTTGTATCACAACCCAAACTTGTTTGACATTGAAAGCTCTTTGATTTGACATCAGAGTTCCCTAACAAGAAAAGGAATATTGAGAAGCCGAACAATGTGAACCGTTTTGGGCATCAACGAAAGCTACAGAAAATACAGCACGGAAATAGTAGAAGAACCAGACTTCAATGAAGAAAAAGTATCATTCAAAGTACACGATGCGTTGGAACAGATCAAAGGTGCTTTTTTAACCTCCGAGAGAGTAGGAGTGGTAGAGAGAGAGAGAGAGAGCGAGAGAGAGAGAGAGAGAGAGCGAGAGAGAGAGAGAGAGGGGGGGGGGGCAGCAATAAGCAATACAAATCAAGAGATAGGACGATTTAAAAAAAACAAAGAACTGAAACGCAGATGTGATTGCTCAACCAAATCAATGGACTACTCACTATTAAAAGACAAAGCCAAAACAACTATCTGAACAACTATCTTTGTCTTTGTTTGGACTTTGACACGGGGAGACAGAAAGTCCTATGTAAACGGTATTCTCAACTCGAAAGGGTACAGTTTAAACAAAGGCGATACACCAAGCTGAAAGATGCACACTTGGGTTTATTATCTGAAACAGAATGACCAGAAGATCAAAGTTTGCAGGATGTTGATATCTATGACCGGGCTCACCCATTGTAAATTGCTCTAGAGGAGCCCATGTCAGTTTCATCATCGCCTGGCTCACCCCGAACGGACAAACACTTTCCACTATTCCCTAACCTGGGCTAACTTCTTCATATTTTTCAAATGTCTTTCCACTTTTCTGTTCATCATTCTCTGCGACTTTTCTACAGGTTCCACATGGTCTTCCCTTGATCGTTTAAGCTGTTGACTCCAAATGAAAACTTTTTTGTTATGTAGCTGCCTGATTTCCAAATGGTATGCTCGGTCTAATCCATCTTCACTGCTTTCTTCTGTCTGAAAATTTTCTGGTCATCACTTCCTCATTGGTGACTCTGTCTGTCCATTTGATCCTGAGGAACTTCCTCAGGCACTTGTTGATGACAACCTGGATTCTCCAGAAATTTGTAAAGAGTGCTATAGAAGAGTGCAGCCCAGCTGCACCACCAAACAATCCACAAGGGATGTGCAAGCCAAGGAGTTTCTGTTCACATCTGTGGACATGCTTCTGAAGGTTCCCACTCGCTATTGCCAGCAAAGCTCTGGAAAACTGTATCTAGATCCCTGATTCTGTAATCTGTCGGAGCTTGAAACCGCCTGCACTGGTCAGGGACAACCTGCCTTGTATGTCAAGCTTCTCAAATATGTGTTAGATGAAAAGAACATGTCGATCTATGAGTAAAAAAAAAGATCAATGTGAATTGTACGTGAGTTTTGAGTCTTGACAGCGTCAGCCAGACTAAGTGGGAATCTCACGTGTCAGAAAAGAAAGTGACAAAGAAAGGGCATGCAATGGATAAAACCTTTGCCCTTAGGCAGGAAGACCTTGTGATGATTTGCATGAATCTTCAGGGTGTACTTTTGTCATTGTCTATTAATTCATCCAGCTCTTGTTACTGAAACATGCACATAATCTTCAATGAGACCTTGTATGGTGCCATTTATTATTATTTTATTACAAAAGGCACAAGGTGGTTTGATTGCAAATGAATTCACAAGTTGTTTGATGGACTTTTTTGTAATGTGCACAAATGCATAGAAGGTTATAACAATATATTATTATACAGCTACGGATGTGTGTGTGTGTGTGTGTGTATGACTGAGTTGTGTGTGTGTGTGTGTGTGTGTTTGTGTGCATGTAAGTGTGTGTTTATCAGCACAAAATTGCATCTATTTCTAATGCCGTGGGTGCCCTTTCCATTAAAGCAAACACCGAAATTGAATACAAGATCTTATTAGAGGCCGCCCTCATATGCAAGTAGATAGTAGTATGCATGGCGCCATTGAGCGGCGGCTTTAAATAAAAAACATTTTCAGAACTGCAATTTTTATAATTATAGCAACGAAGACCCTATAAAGTGAAATTTGTTGATTACTTTTTCCTCCATGATTTTGCCAAAATTGCAGTTCACAAAACTGTCAGGTCGGGTAGAAAAAAAAAAGACCAAACTGTTAATGCAGCAAAGCCTCTGATATTGATATACATCAGGAGAAATTCTTGCAAACTGAACTCTAACGAAGAGTGGGAGAGTTTTCTAAAGTTCAGAGACAAGAAAAACTTAACAAACAGTTCCCCACCACTGTATCATTCTACTTATAAACGGGAAAAATTAATTTTCAGGATCTGAGAGACAAAAAGGATAAGATAATGAAAGATGATCATTCAGTCATTTAGGGGGTATAGAATTTTGATATAAATCAAGTTCTCAACCCATCCACCACCTCCTCCCCAAAGGAAATACACTTACATACAATTGGAGAAAGAAGGATAGAAAGAGAAAAAGCATGCAAATGAAGGAGTATGATTTCATAAATGACATACAATATCCCATTCATGTAAGAGTGAGAGATGTTTATAGTGGTAGAATAATGAATAGCTTTCTGTCTCACTCAGTCTGTAATTTCATTCTCAGTTTTAAATTGGTCTTTTAAAATCTTTCTAGTAACAGTATTTCGTGCTTTCATATATTTCTAAACATACCAGGGCCTCAAATAATGAATACACACTGCCCAATAACCATGAATACAACACCGCGTTCCCAAAAGCCTACTGATGAAATCGTGAATTGTGTGGAATTCACGACCGCATCAGGCGAGAGTCGAATATGAAAATCATGAATCCCACACTTTTTCGAAAAAATGACCGTCTACGGTAAAAAAATGTACTACAGTATTATTTCTAAAAGGTAATTGATTAGATTTATCCCTTTAGTTTATGTCTTGGACGCCAAATGACGGAGAAAATCAGTTTTTTCCCTCTCCTGTAAAATTTGCTTCGTGTGGAATTCACGATTTCATCAGGCGACCGACGATAATCATAATGTCACTTACTGAAACAGTTAAATAGTCTTTTTGGAATGCAGACATTTGACATCCCTGATGATATAGCTTTGTAAAAAAACCCACACGTGTCACTCTGCTGTGATATCGGGCACTTGTCAATTTTTGGGCATGTGGAGTTAATGGTATCATCTGGAAGCGTATTCATCTGTTTTGCTTTAAAATTTAAAAAATCAATCTATCGTGAATAGAAGTCAAGATATCTGCGATTGAAGGAGGTGAGGTCGCCTGGTTTCGGTGTAAAGTGAGAAAATGGCTGGCAAGGTTTGGTAACTCCAACAGCCTCCTTGAAAACAGAAGAATGACATATTTTGTGCAATTAATCAACGTTTTTCAGTAAAATTCACATGGAAATATGTTATTATATGGACATAGTAGGGGTTAAGCGAAAAAAAACAACATTCGATCAAATTGCCAAACTGGTGAAAAAATATCTGTTTCTCCGATTTCGTTATTTTGACGAGCACCTGAATCCTCCACGATGCCTCACAAAAAATATTATTTGGAGTGCATGCATTTGAGCTATTATATCCTGTAGTTTTTCCCTGTTGGTTTTTTTTGCTTAGCTCTATCAAATGTCTATCTTTGTTGATTGTTCATCAGGTTGGGCCGGGGCCTCAGGTGGTGACTGACCCCAGCGAGTCGTTGATCGACGCCGACGGCAGCCCCAAGCAGAAGAGCAGCTAGTCTTGACTACTCCGCTAGTTTTTCTACCAGCAAACCGTTCACGTACAACTACTGTGTTTATGTTCTTCTGTATGTCTGTCCATTTCTTTTTAGATTTGATGAGCGCAAATTGACACAGGGAAAATCTGTTACGAGTGAAGTTGTGGGTTCGAAACTAGAGTGGCAACAACGATCAGTTGCTTGTTCCTGCTACTTTTCTTGTAACTTTGTTTTCTCGTGAAATAATGCTCGTATTTTGATGACTCGTATACGTACACTGAACAGCATTTTGTAATCAAATGAAATGTATTAAACATTGAGTTCAGCAGAATAGAAGTGGTTCTTGTGTGAAAGATTGAACGTTTTGTTTTCTTGTGAGGTTCTAAAAGGGTATTGCAAGAAAGATTCTTGTCTTGAATGTGAGATAATGTTGGAAGTAACTTGTTTGTTGTGAAGAAGATTGTGAGTTTCTCTGTGGTGAGAGAACTACATGAGATGATATCGGTGAATTGCATTTTGATGTACAGTAGATGTAGCATGTGTTTGTGAGTTAGAATTGATTTTCTTTGAATCTTTTCTATGCCAGGAATTTAGATTGAAGAAGCAGGAAAGAAAAATTGTGACATTTTTCAACCTATCTTGGTGAAAATGTTTGTTTCTGAATGCTATCTTATTATGATATGTTTTATGAGAATAAAACACAGTTTGCCTGTAAATCTGTCCTTTGTATGAGCATAGGACACAAAACTCCTACATTAGTGTCCTGTGTGTCAGAACTGGACACAAAAGTTGTGTATATGTGTCGCGGGTGCTACGCAACTAGGTTTTTCTGTCCACCCATCTCCGTTGATTTTACGTTTGTCTTTTCATCTCATGGGTGAAAAAGTTTTCTACATTTTATTCAGAGTTGTTTTGCTTCTACTACTGCCCAGAGAAAAGGCCGACCTCAAAGATTTTGATTCATTTGTAAAATAAGCACAGCATGACTTGTCTTGATGTAATCTTTAGGGTCCGTGAAATCTCACAGTGTACAGAAAGTACTTTTGTTCAATTACTTCTCACAAACATCCGTCAGTTATTCTCAAATGTGTTTGTATTTTCTCCATGACCATGTATCTATTTTCTGTATCGCTCAACTTTTCTTTCGAGCAAAACCTTTGCTACGGAAACCAAAATTCCATCGCTAAATTATTAATGTTGTCATCAAAGGTAAAGAGTTGCAAATAAACTTTTAAGTACTCCCCCCCCCCCCCTTTCACATTCCAGGATTAAAAAAAGGTCCAATTGCCTGACGCTTTTCTTCTGACGGGACTTTTCCTTTTAGTGGGCTTGATATACTCAGTCTCTCCTGTCTTTTTGATATATTCATAAAACTTTGATCAGCTGTTTTGGATCAGTCTCTCCTGTCTTTTTGATATATTCATAAAACTTTGATCAGCTGTTTTGGATCAGTCTCTCCTGTCTTTTTTATATATTCATAAAACTTTGATCAGCTGTTTTGGATCAGTCTCTCCTGTCTTTTTTATATATTCATAAAACTTTGATCAGCTGTTTTGGATCAGTCTCTCCTGTCTTTTTTATATATTCATAAAACTTTGATCAGCTGTTTTGAAGTATTTTGGGGTTTCTTTACTTTTTTTTTTTGAGAGTGCGTCTTGTTGTAGCTCTTTGACCACAGCTGAAGATGACGTTGTGTGTGTCTCTGTCACTTTTTCCATGAAGTGTTGGTCTGATTATAGCGTGTGAACTCTTCCATTCTTTGCTCTAAAAACACATGCAATCATGGATTTTAACTATTGTATGATTGTTATTGTTTAGTTAGCCACGTTGAAGTTAAGTGTAACACAGGTGGAAATCTTAGCAATTTTAAGCTCATTCTTGTTCTATTGATCAAAATTGTTGTTGTTGTTGTTTTCAGACGTAACTGAAAAGATGGAGGGAGTTGTTGTGATTTCCTTCATGATGGCTCGTGGGTTTTGTTTTTGTTGATTTTGCTGTTGTTGTTGTTGTTGTTTGTTATATCTTGGTAGTATTATAAGACTAACACAGATATAGTACATTGTTGGTTTTTTTGCTGTTGTCATTTTACACAGAAGTATGCAGATTAATTGCAGCTGATTGAACCTATATGTTCTTCTGCCTGAAAATGAACATGATTTAGCTTTTTCTTTGCTAGAAAGATGCTATTTGTCGTTTGTCTTTTTGAAGTGCCATTTTCTTTGTATGAAGACGTCTTAATGTTGGAGGTATTTCGTCAGCCGTCATGTTTCTTCCATTCACACCTAAATGAATTTTTAGTCAAAACGTGGATATTTGAACGTCCTTTTCTTCATTTTTACATTCATATGCTTCCCAGGAAGTTGATGTTGTTTCAGAATGCTCTCAGGTCTGCTGGGGTAATATTATAGATTGCGAAGCGCATAGAGCTTGCTGTTGAGCATGGATTTACTCTATACAAATGCTTTCTATTATTATTATTTCTTCAGTACACATAGCTTGGGAATTGCTTTGGTAAGACAAGTACAAAGTTACGGCTCATTTGACAAAAATAAAAGCAGGTGTCTCATAAAGTGCCGACACTCTGCTACAAGGAATGTTCCACGACTCCCCAGTTATATGTATACGTGAACTGTACAGGGAAGTAGTTGTCAGGATATTCCCTGGTGCTGACGTATCTGCTGGAAGCAATGTGTATAGGATGAAATACATGTACATGTTTTTACGTGTACAAGTTGACATGTGACAACGCCTCCCTAGTCATTTTTTAATCTTTAGAATAATAGGTCGCTTTTAAGGACAAGCAGGCTAACTCAAATTCCGAGGGTTTCCAGAAATCTTGACCTACACCAAAAGTGGGCATTGCCCTACCTATAGGAGAAGTTTGGTTTCATTGGTGTGTATATTTGTTTGGTTATAGAGAAAACTCTCCTTGTCTTTTAAAGAAATTTAAAGAAATTTTACCTCTGATTTTCTCAAAACAGCATTTTTCAGGATAAGCCCCTCGTGCTTAAAAACGACCAATTAGCAAACCACTTAGCCAACACCTCAGAGGACAAAGGAGATTTCGTGACTGTATCAGGGAGAACGGACTCTAGCTTTGTTTCCTTGCCTTGCCACTTTTTCTGATATTTCTAGAAATTTGGAAGGACAATTTGTTATTGTTTCTTTTTATGCCTTTTATTTGCTCTGTTTTTGTTTATCAACACTATGTAGTCACTTGGCGCAATAATGCGACGGTGAAAATTCTCCGTTCCGGTCACCTGGTGCAGTTCTGCGCCAGGCCCGAGAAGTCCGTTGCAGTCACTCTCCTGGCTGGGTGACCAGATGGGGTATTTTGTACTACTGGCTGTGTGACTGTAAAGTGTTGACAACTATTTCTGTTGTCACACAATTTGTTAACAGCAGTAATTTCCTGAAATCTCTCCAGGTGTATTTAGCTCCGCTGATAGTGATAGCCCTGACGTGTCTGCTTAGCCTGAAGGAATTCTCCAGGAGCTGTCGGTGGCTTGTCAGTGTTGTCAGGTTTTTTCTTCTTTCTCTTTCTGTGAAGTTTTCTTATACTTAGCAACCTTTGACCTCCTGTTATTGCTAGAGACTTACTGCAAGGTCTGATTCCTTTTTAAATTTAAATGTAGTTTTTTAAAAATAGATTGTTCTTTGTTTTACATTGGGAGATTTTTCCCTCATTTTTTTACTTCTGTCAAGCACTTATCAGTTTTGTCAGTATTGAAATTTTAATGAAGTGGAGATTAGCACACATCATATTTCTACGACATGTAGAATTTTGATGTTACTCTAGAAAATGAGAAAGCTTTTATGAAGCTCTGATTCTGGTAAAGACTATGGAAAAGCTATATGTATTTCTTTGTTCAATGCTGGTTCTTTCAAAGGTCGAGGATGCTCCCATCTACACACAGGACTTGCAGATTCACAAGTTTTTGACAAATTTTCACGCTGCCTTCATAAGTGTTCAGTCTTTTATAATTTGCGAAGAAAAGGAAGTAGTCGAATTTTGTAGAAGTTTTTTTTACCAGAATAGGTCTGTTTTTATAAAGGCATGCTGATTTGATTTTGAAGATCTCTTTTTACTGCTCTATCAGTTTCCACTGCCTTTTTATTCTTTACAATTTCTGTTTCGTTGATTTCCAAAGTATTTATCATATGAACAAAGAGGACTGAGCCGAATGTGGTCAGGAGGGTCACATTACGATTGACTTATGTGAAGTCATTTCTCGGTAAATCTTGAGAGTTGAACGAAAATGAATTCTTGATTATATCTGTGCTATATCTGGAGCTCCTCTTGCAGTACCTGTATGCTTCCTCGGAAGCTGAGAATGTTTCTGGGTGTTCTCAGAGGGTCTGCTGGGGTAATAATAGTTGTAAAGCGCATAGAGCATGCTCTTGAGCATAGATATGCGCTATATAAATGCAATTATTATTATTATTACCTGCTTACTCTTTGTTTGTTTTATACAATGGTCAATTGTATTTGCTTTTGGTTAAAAATATATATTTCTGTGTGTTCTTACTTTTCTGTGATTTAAATCGTGTTATGTGTTGGATTTTTAATCAAAACTCGATCTGTGTCATCTGACAGCCCCCCCCCCCCCCCACACACACACACACACACCCCCACACACTCACACACAACCCCCACACCCCACACGCATGCCTCACAGTACTCACACATACCCCAAACACACACACCCACCCTCCCCCTTCCATAACGTACTCAATGACACGGTTCATCATGTTATTCTGTTGTGATGTCATGATGTCACTAGTTACTGTTGGAATTCAGGGTCAGTGGGGGTCGGATTTGGAATTCAGGGTCAGTGGGGGTCAGGTTGGAATTTAGGGTCAGTGGGGGTCAGTTTTGGAATCAGGGTCAGTGGGGGTCAGGTTGGAATTCAGGGTCAGTGGGGGTCAGGTTGGAATTCAAGGTCAATGGGGGTCAGGTTGGAATTCAAGGTCAGTGGGGGTCAGGTTGGAATTCAAGGTCAGTGGGGATCAGTTTTGGAATTCAGGGTCAGTGGGGGTCAGGTTGAAATTCAAGGTCAGTGGGGGTCAGTTTCCCCCGACCAGACACTGCCACTATGTTCACAGTAATAATACTGTGCCAAGGCAGAACGACGTATCTGCACTTTTTATGATTTTGAGTTACGTCACGCTGCCATTGGAAATATGGGCATGGCCCTTCAGTTACGTCTGTTTGCCATAGTGAAATATCCTATTTGTAGTGCAGATACTTCCTGCCTTTGACACAAGATGCAGAATGGGTATAGGCGTCCATTTAAACGAAGATACAAAAATTAATAATTTTTGCAGATACGTCGGCCTGCCTTGGCACAGCGGAATAATGCTGTGTATATTCCATCCTTCTCATTTTATAGAAAGTTTTTTTTCCCCCCTTGCATGCTCACAATGAGAGCCTTATGATGCTCACTAGTTGTAGACCACAAATTGAAGCCTGATTTCCCCTTTCGGACTTCTCTGTTGACATCGACCCCTTGGCGCTCATATGACATCATGCAGTTGCAAGCGCCGTAAAACCGTTCTAAAACTAAATCATCCCTAGGCGCGTATTGTATGACTTTATGCAGTTGCGAGC